ATGGAGAGTGAGAAGGAGGAGAGATAAAACAATGAGATGAACGGCTGTGTGTATGTGAAGCAACTGATGAGATAATGAGTGAGAACAATTTCAGCTAGGAATTAGGGTACACGGAGGAAAATGGAGATGGAGATGGTGCCTGTGATTGAATGGTGTGAAAGGACCAGGCTGAAAGACCGAAAAGAGGAAATTGGGCCTTGGAAAATGTCTTGTCATTTGACGAAACTTATGGCCAGGACGTTGCCTTCCTTCAGAGGGGAAGGGAACGGGAAAAGAGGGGGGACTTGCAGGCTAAAGTAAGTGCTTTAAAAGAAAGAGAGAAACAAAAGCGAATAATAATGAGGGTGCATAAAGGGGGGAAAGGAGGGAATGACAGGGTGCTGGGAACAGTACTGATGTCAGTGTGCACCCAAAGAGAGAAAGTGAGTGAGAGTTTGCGGGCGGCCGAGGACGGCAGCGTCGAGCGTCCGTCAGCGAATGGATGAAGTCAATTAAAGTTTCGCCTTTCAGTTTCACTCGCACTCTTTCACCCTTTCTCCCGCTTTCTCTCTCTCTCTCTTTCTCGCGTCGTTTGCCCGGCTTCACTCTAAATTCGATTAGTCGTCAGTTTCAAATGCAAACGCTAATTAAGCCATGCAGGCGAAAGAACACTGAGGCAAAGGCACAGACATACACAGTCGCAGTGTGCGGCGGTGCTCAAATTAAAATTCAATTAATGAAGTGAGAAGACGGATGGCGGTTGCGGAGTGAGAAATGCCGGGGTTCAAAGGCAGGAGGCACTGGCAAGAGGAAAGGGTTACTGAAAAGGAGAGAAAGAGAATTGAGAACTGTGTATTATGTGCGACCAGAGTTGGCCAAAATGAGACAGGATATTGGCCTGGTTGACAACAACGAAACAGTGGCAACAGCAGAAGCAGCAGCAGCGGAAACGGGTGCTTGTTGTGCTCAGTTGTGCCAAGCACACTCACTCACTTAGCTATTGTCGTCAAGAAAAAGTTTTAGCATTTCAAAAGTTTTTTCTTTCTTTCATTCATTCATTCTCTGTCTTTCTCCTGGGTAACCAAGAGAACTGCCGCCTGCTGAAAACTGGCTTTGGACTGACTAATTAGCTGCTCTGAAATGCGGGATTAATTACGATCTTGATGAAGTGAGGAGAGTTTCTAATCAGATGAAGACGGTGCTTCAGTGCAAAAATGGGCAATGTTTTGCTTTCTTCAAGGACTGATGGGGCTGGTTCACTTTTTTGAAGGTGAAAATGAAGGCAAAAATAAAAGGAAAAGTGGTTTCGTCTTTGAACTGACGGCTCAATCTATAGACCAAATCCTGTTCTATTTTTGCGCTGAAATCACTAATTAGGTTCACTACTTGAGCGCAAAACGGACAACGCCTGTTTAGCGCAATCATAAATTACATGCCGCCTAATTAGTGCCGACTTGGCCTTGACTGGGCATTGGTTTTGTCATCTTCAATCACAGTTGTCTATTTTAGGGGCTCACTTTTAATTTCCCATTTTCTTTTCTTTTTCTTTTTCTTCTTCCTCAGAGCCACAATCTCGAATGCCACCCAAGATCATCGCCAGTCTACGTCACCTGGTGGTGCAGTCGGGTGAGACGGTGGAGTTGCCCTGTTCGACGCAAGCACATCCCTGGCCGACCTTCACCTGGTACCGAGCTTCCATTGAGACGACGCCCTCTTCTTCCTCCTCCTCCTCCTCCTCCTCTTCAGGCGGCGTTACCTCAACCGCAACCAAACGACTCAGTCGCCTTCACGTGCCAACCTTTCGCATCGGCGATGGCTCCGGCGCCGGTGGCGATGAAGTGGACGCCAACGGCTCCGGCGAGTCCGTCGCTACGACATATCGCATCAACAAGGCAGGTCGAATGGTGCAGGTGGACAGTTCGCTCTTCCTGCGAGACGTCACCGCCGCCGACAGTGGCCTGTACGTTTGTGTGGCCAACAACACCGTCGGACAGGATCGATTCGAAATTGAACTCATGGTCAGAGGTAAGTGCAAGTGCAATTTGAAGTAGTCTCAACAGAACTTTAAGCTGAGGTTGTTCTGCCGTTCTCAACATCTTTTTCAGCCCTTACCCTGACTGACATTATTTGTAGTCGTTCCACTAGAAGAGATTGTAACAAGCATTTCCGCCAGCCAGAAAAGGGTCCACAATGAGTACATTTGGACGGACAAGTTTTTACTAGTGTAACATTTTAATTAGAGTCATTAGCAGCAGTGTGTGTCTGTCTTTTTACTACTTTCTCCTAAGATGGTCATCAAAATGTTCTCCATTTCTCTCCCTCTGATGATTCCGACTGTGTTTTATGTGTGATGGCCATTGTTCTCTCCATGACTGACTGGAAATCATTAAGTTTTATGAGTTGCACAGGCAGCAGCAGCACTTGTACGACTTAGAAGTGTACGGTGTGTGTGCTGTACGGCCATTTCGGCGTTTCCTGACAAAGTGTTCGCCAAGTTGCAGTGCTGGAACTAGTGCTGGTACTACTGCGCCACTACTACTACCGGACAACTTGGTGACTTGCCTTTTGCCTCTCTATTTTTCTTCTTTCTATGTTTCTCTTTCCGGACTGTTTCACATCGTCCGAAGACCGGAGAGCATAAGTGATTTTAAAGGAGAAGGAGAAGTCATTATGGCCACTTGGTCGCATTTAAAGGCGATGGCGGCGGCTGCTGCTGCTGACTTCAATTGAAGTTGTGCTGAAACACTTTTACAGGAGCCTTTCTCGCTCTCTTTCCACCGACTCACCAAAAACTGCAACCCTCGAAAGCTCATGTAAAACTTTTCAACGGCGGATACATTAACGCTGGAGGAAAGAGACTAAGAGAAGATGACGTATTTTTTCAATGAGAGAAAGAGGGAAATAGAGGGGGTGCAATGAAAAGAGATGCAGTGAAAACTGAAACAGTGCTGGCGTACATTAGTAAAGATGAAAGAATAGGAGAAAAGGAAGGGAAGAGAGACAGAAAGCAGTGGTAATGCACGAGGATTCATTGATTCAACTGGGGAGCAGACTGACGAGCAATGCCGAGTATTCCTTCAATTGCCTGCAACTGCTTCGATAGAGTGTGTCACGAAGGAAGGGAGAGAAAGAAAGTGTGCCCACCTCAACGGAATCACTTGTGTCTGATCTGCTGTCTCCTCTAATGATAATAGCCCTGCTCACTTTAGTGGCTAAAGAAGAAGACAGTGACTGGCAAAGCCAAATCGGTGCCAGTGCTTGTGCTGTTCAGTGTTTTTCGGTGCTCAGTGCTCCTTCGCTCGCTCGCTCTGGTAATGATCGCGCGATGATGATCGGCGACGAAACGTTGCTGCGCTGATGATGATGAATTCCATATTGAAGTCATTAAAGGCGAGCTGCCTTTCTTTACTTCTTTCGTTTTCTCCTTCCACTACTCTCCTTCTTTTTCAAATGTTTGCGTTATTTCTTCTGCTCAGTAGTTTTTTAACTTCTAGTAGTTTTTTTACGCAAAAAAATGCTTCGCGCTAGTCGATTCACTTGAGCGATGCTCGTTGCTGTACGGCGACACTGAAAAATGATGTTTCTCTCTTTTTCTCTCTTGCTTTACTTTTGCCTCTTCCGCTTAGGGAAAGTTTGATACCTTTCTGAAATTACCACCTATTGACTGATAAAAGGGAAAAGGTGGTAATGATTTTTTTCCAGTAGAGGAAAGAGAAGAATCGACGCAAATCGATTTGGCAAACTTCAAAGTGCCTGGCTTTTTTGTGTGCATGTGGGCAAAAAGTTCCTGTTTTAGTCAAACAGAGTTTTAATTTATTTTGATGCGTGATATATTATTTTTAAATCNTCAGTGGCACCTACTGTTGCAGCAAATAGCCTTGGCGTATTCAGAAAAATTGTTTTCATTTGAGCTAACCATAGACGACTAGGTGAGCTATTGCTTTTTCTCACATGCCTTCACTTGTGAGTGCAAAGTTGTGACCGCTGCCTATGTAAACACAAGTTTGCAACAGCCGCTCAAATCGCCATCTACAACCAACGCGGCAAACTAGCTATGCTTGTGCATTATCAGTGTCTCAGCCTATGTAAAAGGGAAAAGGTGGTAATGATTTTTTTCCAGTAGAGGAAAGAGAAGAATCGACGCAAATCGATTTGGCAAACTTCAAAGTGCCTGGCTTTTTTGTGTGCATGTGGGCAAAAAGTTCCTGTTTTAGTCAAACAGAGTTTTAATTTATTTTGATGCGTGATATATTATTTTTAAATCTTTTTAGGACTTAACCAGTTACTTTTGTTTTGCAATTTTTGGTTTCACTATTTATAAAATCAAATTTTTCTTATTCAGGCGTAAATAGATTTCTCAAATTGTCAATAAATTATACTAAAACAGATAGAGGATTATTTAGAGGATTCTCAACTACCATTGAATACATAACTTCTTTGCTGGAAAGAAATGGGCACAAATGCATCTACACTAAGTGCACCAAGTGTCAAATTAACATCATCATCATCATTAGGCTTTAGTGCTATAGCACTAAATTGCGTTCTAATTAATTGGCATCAGAAAGAAGCACCACAGACAGCTAATAATCCGACAAAAGATAATTTGTTGAAAAACTATTACAACCCTGTTTTATCCCTTGAAAAACTCACCCACTTTTTTCCATCTTCCTTGTAGCTCCACTGAGCGTGGCCATCAACCCGAGTCACATTCTGGCGACGGACGGTGAGACGATCAGCTTCAACTGTTCGGTGAACGGCGGTGCTCCCGTCAGTCGGGTCCAGTGGCGGCGAAATGCACGGCCGTTGGGGGCGTCGCCGTCGTTGTCGGTGGCCGGCAATCGCGTGCACCTTTTCGAGAATGACCGACGCCTGCAGATCAAGCAAGTGCGAAGAGAGGACAAGGGCATGTTTGTAAGTGGTTGAGGCTGATTGCCGGCAGATGACGCCCGATTGAGGCAGTCATCAGTTTTGATTGCATCATCTGATTTTGATCATCTCCTTTTCCACCTTTCAACTTCCAGCAATGCGTGGTCAGCAATGAGTTCGAGTCGGTACAGGCTTCGGCAGAGCTGGCCCTGGCCGACGACCCTCCTGCCTTCTTCTACGTCTTCTCAGTGCTGGAGCCGGTCAAGCCAGGCAATGCTCTGTCGGTTAAGTGTTCCGCCACCGGCGTTCCACTGCCGCAGATCGTTTGGACACTGGACGGTGCTCCGCTGGCAGATCATGGTCGAATCAGAGTGGGCGACTACGTGAGCAGTGATGGCGTCGTCAACAGCTTCGTTAATATTACCAGCCTGAGAACGGAGGACGGTGGCATGTAAGTGTTGTTGTTGATTGTTTATTTGTTTGTAGATTGCTGTGAAGAAAACTGAACCCAACAAACACACATTTTTCTGTAGCTACTCCTGCACCGCCTCCAATGACGTTCACTCCATCAGCCACTCTGGGCGAATCAACGTCTACGGGCCGGCCTTTGTGCGGCCGATGAAGAACCTGACGGCCATCAGCGGCCACAACATTCACCTGCACTGTCCAGCGGCGGGATATCCACTCGAGTCCATTGTCTGGTACAAAAGAAGTGGCAATGGCGGCGGAGGAGGTAGTGGCAGTGGCGGTGGTGGCAATCGTCTGCCCCAGAACCACCGCCAGAAGTCACTGCTCAACGGAACGCTGCTCATCGAGAAGGTGGACCGCTCCTCAGACGAGGACGCCTACCGCTGCGAGGTGACCGGCACCGGGGGCGGCAGCAAGGCCACCTCCGAGCTCTTCATGCGCGTCCTCGTCGCTCCGGTGATCAGCCCCTTCAGTCCGCCGCCGAACCTGCGCGAGGGCATGCGTGTCATGCTCACCTGTTCGGTGGTGGAGGGCGACTCGCCGGTGCTGATTCAGTTTCTGAAGGACGGCGAGCCGATTCACGAGGCCAGTGAGGCCGTGGGCTCCTCCTCCTCCTCGCGACCGAACCGCATCAAGCTGGAGGTGGCCAATGAGTTCAGCGCCACGCTCTACATTGCCTCCGTCACGGCGGACGACTCGGGCAACTACACCTGCATTGCCAGCAACATGGCCGCCGTCACCACCTACTCTATTGTGATGAAAGTCAATGGTAGGCGCACTTCTCATTTTAGTTGGCATAGTTACATATTAAATGCTCTTCCCATCTGTGCAGTGCCTCCGAAGTGGAAGTTCGCCCCCTCTGACACTGAAGCCATCGAGGGGCAGAATGTGGTCATCGACTGCTCCGCCTCTGGTGAGCCGCGAATCTGGTGGGAGCGCGCCTACGACAAGCCCTCAATGGACCACCGAGTGATGGGCCCCCACTCCATGGCTGCCGTGTCGGGCACCTCGGTCACCTCGGCCGGCGGGCCGATCAGCGGTCACCACCAGTCGGGCGGCCACCAGCCGACGCACTACTTTCGCACGCTGGTCAGCAACAGTCACATGCACACGCTGGAGAATGGCAGTCTGATGATCAGGGACGTCGCAGAGGAGGACAGTGGAGTGTACCTCTGTCAGGCGAACAATGGCGTTGGCTCGGGACTCAGTAAGGTCATCACTCTCAAAGTTCATGGTAAGTGGTGGTGGCTAAAGTCATTTGGTTTATTATAACGCAACATTCTTTGTGTGCTTTTCCTTCCGTTCTTTTTTTCAGTGCCCGCTCACTTCAAGTCCAAGTTTAGCGCGCAGACAGTGCAGAAGGGCGACTCAATCGAGTTCCTCTGCGACGCCTTCGGCGAGCCGCCAATGTCCATCACACTGGCGAAGGACCGAATGCAGCTGGAAATTGACGGCAGTTCGGGAGGTGGCGGCAACGGACCACCGGCACACCCAAGTGGCATCATCGAGCAGACGCTGCGCACTGACAGTCGATACCGGCTGGTGCGCAAGCCTCGCGAAGATGGCTACAGTCTTCTGGTGCGGGTCGTCTCGGTGGACCGTCGCGACTCGTCGCTCTTCACCTGTCTGGCGGCGAACGCCTTCGGCAAGGACGAGTACAACTTTCAGCTGATAGTTCAGGAGCCTCCCAGCAAGCCGGAGAACATGCACATTCTCGAGTCGGAGTCGCGCTCGGCGGTGATCGGCTGGTCGGCGCCCTACTCGGGCAACTCTCCACTGCTGGCCTTCCACATTGAGTACCGCCAGGCGATGGTGGGCAGCGGTGTCGAGTCCTCCTGGAGTGACGTGTCGCCCATTATCTCCTCTACCAATGCCAATGGGGTGGTCGTCAGCAGCAGTGGCAGCAGTGGTGGCAGCTCGTCCTCCGGCAGCAAACACCTCGACCTGAGCGCCGCCCCTGGGACGACCTTTCGCGAGTCCATCTCCGGCTCTGAGAACTCCTTTTCACTGAGAGGCCTTAAACCAATGACTGCCTATGAGTTTCGCGTTCAGGCGGAGAACAAGCTAGGCCTCGGGCCGTTCACCTCNCGAGGCCTTAAACCAATGACTGCCTATGAGTTTCGCGTTCAGGCGGAGAACAAGCTAGGCCTCGGGCCGTTCACCTCCATTCTGAAGCTGGTCACGAAGGAGGAGGCGCCCTCGGGGCCGCCGCTCAACATTCACGTCTACCCGCTGTCGGCTCGGGCGCTGCAGGTGACCTTTCAGGCGCCACGGACGGAGCACCAAAACGGACAGCTGCTCGGCTACTACGTGGGCTACAAGGCGCTGGACGTTGATGAGCACTTTATGTTCAAGAAGGTCACTGAAGGTAGTGGAAGCGGAGGAGGTGGTGTGAACATCGCCGAGAAGGTGGGCGGTTCGGTGGCGATGGCCGCCAAGGAGGTGAAGATCACCGACCTGCGACGGGCGACCAAGTACGTGGTCATCGTGCAGGCCTTCAATCGAGTCGGCCCGGGACCGCAGTCGGAGGAGGTCATCGGCGAGACGCTGATCAACGATCCGCCGCGAGCACCGGTGCTCAACTCGGTCAACGTCGACTACGACACAGTGGAGCTGAGCTGGTCCATTGAGACGTCGGACAATCTGCTGTCGGCTGCCAGCGGTGGTGGCAAGGGCTCATCGTCGTCGTCCTCCTCTTCTGACACTCCGGAGATCACCGGGTACTTCATCTACGCAAAGAGCCCTTTCGGCGAGTGGGAAGAGCGACAGGTAGACTCGACGCAGACGAGCTCCACCTTCAGTGGACTGCTCTGCGGTACGCAGTACCAGTTCTACGTCATTGCCTACAACAACGTCGGAAAGGGTGATCCCAGTCAGGCGATTGCTGTCAGGACCAAAGGATCAGGTAAACTTTTTAATTAACATTTTTTTCTACTTTTGAGTTATAACTTTGATTTTCCTCAACTTCAGCTCCGATTGCTCCAAAGAACGCCGCCGCTTTCATCAGCACCAACTCCACCGTGGCCATCCTCCGACTGGACGCCTGGCTGGTGAACGGCTGTGAGATTAAGTACTTTGTGATCAAGTACCGGCCGAGGGCGGACACTGAGTGGCTGGTCGCCTCCAGTCAGATCTACCCGTCGCAGAGGTTCGTCGAGATTGTCGACCTAAAGCCGGCCACCTGGTATCTGCTGAACATGGCCTCAGTCACTGACACTGGCACCACCGAGGAGACGTACTCCTTTGCAACTCTAACTCTCAGTGGTGGTAAGAACACTATTCAGTTATGATGTTTTGCATCGTCTTTATAACCAATCAATCTTTCCCTCTCTAGAAACTCTCCCACCACTAGACACACTGCCTCGATCGTACAATCCGCAGGCCACCTCTTCAGGCAGTGCCAGTGGCGGCGGCGGTAACGGCGGCGGCTTCAGCTCCATCCAAAGCCTCACCATCCTTATCCCTGCCACCTGTTCTGTGATAGTACTCACTGTGATAATCATCGTCGCCTGCTTCGTTCTCGGCACCAAGCGAACGGCGGCATTTGAAAGTACACTTCTCACTGCCATTGGAGGCGGCGGAGGTGGCGGAGGGGCTAATGGCGCAAGCGGTGCTAATGGCCACCATCAGTCGAATGGCACCAACGGACTGATGAACGGTGGCCGTCAGGGCAGTCTGGTGGCCAATGGGACGCTGTGCCATGGGCTGATGGGCACGCCGGTGCACCACGGGACGCCGCTCAACGGCGGTGGCCTCTCCGGCGGCTGTGACTCTGAGCCTCGCTACGGTACGGTGACCACCTCCAGCGCCACCGCCTACGAGCACTACGGCTTCACCACTGCTCAGCCCGGCGGAGGCAACATCAACGGAGGCCTAGGCGGCGGCGTCGGACCGACCTTTGACACCTTTCACCTGTCCATCATGGGCGATGGGGGAAGAGGCGGGAAGGACCTGCTGGCCAGCAACACCGGCGCCATTGAGCTGAACAACTGCAGCACCTACGCGACGACGATGAAGAAGCGACCGCCGCCACTGCCCTCGATGACCGCCAACAATAATGGTACTGGTGGAACGCTGTGCAATGGCGTCGGCAGTGCAAACAACGGCGGCTCCAGTGCCATCAACTCGGCGACGACCTGTCTCGACTCGAAGTTGATTGCACTCTCTGAGGGGAAGCTCTCAGAGCAGCAGATGACCACCGCCAATGGTGGCAACAACAATGGCGGGGCAGGAGACGAGAGGCTGACGAGAGACGGCGAGACGGTGCACTACTTTCAGACGCCCTATGCACTGTCTCGCCTGCCTCGTCCCTGTAATCCCCAGCAGCAGCAGCAGCAGTCCAACTCCGCTGAAGACCACCTGAACAGTCTGGAGATGGAGAGCAATGGTGGTGGTGGTGGTGGCAATGGACCGAACGGGTCAATGGGCTGCATGAATGGCTGTGCTAACGTCCAAGGGACGGCCACTCTTCGTCCGCATCACCACCGAACCAATCGCGACCTCCACGAGTACGATTTGCCTTTTCCCCCAAAGTGGGTTTAACCAAAAAAACAAACAAAAGTGATGGTGCCACTAATATTTACTGTGCAAGTGTGTGCTTGTTGAATATATCAATTTTCAATCAATTTGTCCCAAGGTTTTTTTCCTCAAAATGTAAATCATGTTTTTGTAAATAAGAGAGACATTTTGTAACCACATGAAAGATTCTGTAAATAGCCCCTTCTTTTGTATTACGTTTATACCTTTTTGAAAGTTTTACTCCCAAGACTTGAGTGTAAAAAGTCTAAATGAAGGTGGAAAAAAGTTGATTTCATTGCCCTTATAAAGCTTTTTTGAACGATATAAAAATGGATGCTTCAAATTAGCCAAGTCTCGTTTTTTTAAATTTGCGCTTTTTTGCTGCATCCAATTTGCTGATGTGATTGATAGCACAGGTAAATCATTGTTGGGCTTTATTATGTGATTTATCGCTGTGTTTTTTTGCCCAGTTGCGTGTCTATAAATACTCACAACATGCAGTCTCACTTTCATTAAAAAGTATCAGTTTTTCAGTGGCAATTTTGTTTTTGGAAAAAGGAGTTTTTATACATTGTTTCAAAGTATTTTTGTTCACATTTGCACTTGCTTTCACAGTGACTCCAATTTGACAGTAGAAGCTAATAAATTTCTCACTTAATTAATTTTTAAGCTGAAAAGTAAAAAGACCATTTTCCTCACTCACAAAAAGGATCCTTCTGTAATGGCCACTACTCATTGCGTAAGTGTTTTACTAGTAGCAGCATCGGAACGCTAAATTTAGGTATAAGCAAAAGAGAGTAGACGTATCAGCGTAGGTTGAATGTCTAATTGATTTTTTTGAATGATGATATCTGGTGATAAGTTGGGTGGCGAATGAATTGGAAATGGCTCTTTGAGACAAGTGCCGCTCACTTCCAATTAGAGCACTCAAATAAAACTCCAAGCGCGCACTGCTTGACAGTATATCGAATTGCAATTGACAGACGGGCTAAAATGGCTTACTTTTTCTTTTGTTGCATTATTTTTCCACTAATTTATGGCATATATTAATTAATCAATTGAAAAGTAGGCAGTTTGCAAAACAGGTGGACGGTGGACTAATTGACAGAATTGCCAAAATGCTTATCAACTAAACCTACTGATTTTTCATTTTTGAAACAATTTCAGTAAAAAATGCGTTGTCGCCTTTTTTGAGGTTTTTTCTTGACATATTACTGAAATCGCCTTTAAAACGGTCTCATCTGCCTGCCTACCTCATTTGTGTCGGTAATTGAGGTTAATTGCTTTATCGGCAAAAAAGGAAAGAAAAAGAGATGCTCAAGCACTGGCGATCACTTTCTCTGGCCGACTGCCCAGGGCGGCAAGCAGGCAGGCAGTGAGCCAGCCGGCGATGATTTCTCTCAATGATTTGCAATTGCATCCGCATCCAAAATGATGCTACCGGTGAGGACACTGAGCACACACACTCACACACAATTCGACATGGCACGCAAGGCGTGCAAAGTGCACTGAGTAGCAAAGAAAGTGCAGTTAAGTCAGCGGTAAATCGATTATAGCTTCTGCTGCTCCTTCTGTTTTCACTTGGCCGTTGTTCTGGCAACAGCTGCTGCTGAACTGCTCGATTAAACGATTGGCTAGCTAGCTTTTTGAAAAACACTAATTGAATTAAGCCGATAAAGGCAATGGAAGCACCGGTAATTTTGCAGTAAACAACGGACAACCTGTTGCTTTTATTAATTTTTCGGTCTGCTATCAGTCTGCTAATGATTTGATGCGTGCAATTGCGCTCGTGCGCTATATTTATACTACTGCGCCAAGTTTTTAGTGTGTGTGTGTGTATGCGATTTGCCAAAAAGGCAGTGAAAGTGCTCGAAAAAAGGCAGCCAGTTGGCGAGTGCTACAAATAGCTACTCAGCAGAGGCCTTGAGGCAATGCTGCTTTGTTCTAGCCGACCAGCCTGTTAATGCTTTTTTCTGCTAGCAATTTATGGTAAAGACGTAAAATTAGGTAATTACGGGCTGAATACAAAAAAAAGAAAGGAATTCAAGTTAAATTTTTCAGGTTTTTTTCAGACTTTCCAATGGTTTTCAGCCTTTGAGCTTTGTGTTAAACTTATTTCATTATTATAATGTTCAAAAATTAAAATAATTTGATTAACTTTTTGCCAAGGTTTGTAATTATTATTACCAGTTATGATCGTTAATTATTGAGAACATCGATGATTTGCAGCTGTGGTGTTGACTTTAAAAAACGAAGTTTTTGCCTGATTACTTTTTTCCAACCGATTATGTTGCATTACATAAATGGCGTTCAAATATCTTTTTTAAATGGTCATAAGCAAGTTAAGAAAGCGTTACTACAAATTTCGATGTACTCTCTTCTAATCGGCCAATTTATGTTGTATTCTGGTAAATGCTTTGCATTACCATTATGTCGTTAATCAGCTGATAAAACGTTTCCTGAAATTATCATTATCAGTTTTCTGATTATGGCACATTACGAATATTACTTGAACTTACTTTTAACTTTTAAAAACTAAAACAAACTAGTATAATCGGTTTATTAGACTAAGTGAAAAGAATTGTTTGCCAACTTGGTATTTTATTTTATGCTGTACGTGTGTGTGAGTTATGAAGCTTGGCCATTTGTAAACTAGTATTGTAATTGTTTGTTTTGCCCAAGAGTAAAAATTATGAAAAAAAATTGTTTTGTTAAAACTTAATCAGGTCAAAAATTGTGATTTTTACTGTTTTAAAACTGTATATTGACTGTTTAAACTTGTCTAAACAGTTCACTACTTTTTTTCTAAGCAACTAAAATATGCTGTTCTACTGCAAATAATCCTTCTCTTGTTTGCTTTCATTTCCGCATAATTGGCCTTTTTCAAGCCCCTTCATTTCGTTCGATCACTGCAAATTGGCCGTTTTGTTTTGTTATTTACTATGCACTCCGCATCACCACAGCACTGCTGCTTTGTCCAGTAGTGAGCCGGCCATTTGCACGTAAACTACTTGCTCAACTTAGAACTTCTCTCTTTAGTCACTTTTAACTTTATTGGTTTGACAGAGGCGACTGATGCGACCATATGGGTCGACACGCAAGACACGCATCAGGTGATCATCATCAAGTGCAGATGAAGATGCTCGGTCCTCGATGTTGTGTGTATATCAATTGGCTGGTAAATTGCGTGAGAAAATCGATGCTCTGACGTATCACCTCTCGTAAATACTCGTACTAAAGTGACCAATGATGCACTATTGCAAAGTGCAATTTTGAGCACTCTCTTATTTCAGAGTGATTAGTGAAAAATGTATGTTGTGTGTAAGTATGTTGTCGTTTGAAGTCAGTGATATATCTCTACTCCAATACATCTCCCACTTTCCCCCTAAAAATACCAAGCGCATCACTTTTGCTCATTTCTCATTTCCTGCGAATGCCAAATTTGACCGTGTTATCATTACCGGAACTGTATAACTAGTTAACGTGCTTTTTTGACAATTTGACATAACTCTAAAATCTCACTCTCTCCCTCAACACTCTCACTTTTCATACTTGAAAGTAGTGAGTCCACCACTGTGACAGCTTGAGACACTTTTCTCCCCCTTTTCTTCCTTTCTTTCTTCTGTTGCAAGCTCCATTTTTTAACTCTTCTCCTTTTCTCTTTCTCTTTTTCCTCCCGTTGTGTGTATATTATCACCATATCTGCATTAATTAATCATTAGATTAAGTCGTTGCTTCAGTCGCCAGTTGATGAGTAGTCGTTGATTAAATGCACACCGACAAACAGACTGAGTACGTGTGTGCAGTGCAGTGACTGCAGTGATGCCTGCAGCGGTTTGACTCGGCACAAAAAAAACGGTCAGTGGACTTCTAAAGAGCATGAGCACTTCCTCTGAAGAGCTAAAGAGCAGGTGACAACTTCTGCAACAGCAGTCTTTCTTACCAAATCGTTGCAAAAGGAGCAAACCGCACTACTAGGTACACTTCCGTTTTCACAAGTACACCAGCCACTGTTTGCTTACTACTGTTCTCTCTTCTTCTTTATCTTTTTT